CCTTCCAAGCGTGTAGGAAAAACTAGAGTATGTGTTGCTTTGTCCATTCTGGGCTACTGTAGAAACATGGCAGTTCAATGTAGCTCCATTTTTCTGCAGATAAAAACAGCTCATTATAAGGTAATGAAAACGTTTCTTATTTTCAGGTGATTGTACACTAATGAAAACCTACTTATTAATATTAGATTCTTTTTTTTTTTTTTAATTAAAAATCACCTGTTTTCCAATAATCTTCATTTATCCTCCTTGTCCTCCTTCTGAAATTCAACACAGATCAAGCTTACTGTGTAGCACTGGTTCTCTAAATTTAAAAAACAGATCACCTTTGCTTTGGAATTTCTCTAAATGAATAATTGTGAGGTGACTCATCAGGATGCCCATCTGGGCTGCTTTCTAAAGGTCCCATGAGATAGTCTGTGTTTTTGTTTCATTACATCCTGTCAACATGGTCTTACTCACATTACCTCCAGTTTGTATATATTCTACAAAACACATACATACTGTATACAACATACACCACCATTTTTCTAAGGAAGATGAACATTTCACCACAATTATTTTACATGTATTTATTTATTGAGTTCACACTGCTCCCTTCTTTTTGAGATACATTTTTATAAATGTAAATACGAATTTCCCATGACATCATGAACCTGCTGTTCCTGGTTCAACTGATACATAGCATTGTATTAAGGTTGCTTTAGATTTGGTCATTATGTGAATCTATTGTTCAAAGCTCTATATTCAACTATGCTAAAGCCTTTTCTGGTCATAATATAATTTGCATCATTAGAGAAACATAGTAATTGGAATTATATGTATATATAAAAAAAGAAAACTCATTTTAAGCATTGAAAAAAATATAAGCACAAAATGTGCAATAATACATTTGTTTTATGAGACTAAGACATATATCCAACATCCACACCACCACGACACTGGAGAAAACAATTAAGATAATATTATTGCCAAAAGTGAACCCCATCTTTAACAAATAGCATTTACTACTAATTTGGTTTGGTAAATACACAGCTCTGAGTAGGCCTGAATGACGAATGTAGTTACAGGGAGAATGCCTCAAAAGTCGGGTAGAGGAGATGGCAGAGAACATTTGCAAAGGAAACCAACAGCAACATTACAACAGAAAACTAGCCTGAAACATCCTCTGAGGGCTGACAATGTTTAATTGCAACCTCAAAGCTACTCAACACTTTTAGAAAGATGTGACTAACATCAGAAACACAGCAGAAAAATTTATCAGCTTGGACCTTTCATCAGGCTCAGCTGTTTCACATTCCCTCCTTATATGGTGACAAATTTCATGTAAGATATGTGGAAATGGGCAAGTGCATCTGAGGGTGGTTTATCACAGACACATGTAAAACAAGCAAACTGCAGATTCTTGAATTTTAATGTTGGTGACACTGCTGATGGTGAGGCTAACTAAGCAGGAGAGGGGAGGAGGACATGTACATCAGGACAACGGGAGAGGGGGAACGGGGGAGGACAAACAGAAGAGGGGATCTGCTCTCATTAATTTTTCACTTTCATTTATAGTAAATTATTTAAGAGCCATGTTGCAGTGCGTCGCTGATGCAGCACGGGCCCTCGTATTCACTTAAACAGCAACAAAGGAACACACACTCGGAATATTGCACATATATGCTCTCACTGCTATGCATACAGAAACCATAAGCACTGTCCCAGGGGAGCTGATTAGGGGGAGATTTGTCAAGCAACCTGCCCCGCCCCACCCACTGCCAGCTCTTTTTATATTGATCACACAAATATGCATACAGACCGAGCACAGACCTTCCTCCCTGCACTTGCTAAAAACGTTGTATTCTTTTGTATTCAGTTTGTTGAATAACCCATGAACTGTACTGGAAAAAGGAGGCCTGTCTATCTCAAAAACAGACGTATGTATTTTTGTGCCAGTTTCATTGTGAGGCATAGTAACTATAATGTGCACAGATTTGACTTAATATTATTTTCTACTGCTGTGGTTCCCAAGCTTTTTCATGGACTCCTTTTCTATCATTGAGTAAAATGACGACTCCTGAATTAGTGACATATTTTATGGATTTATGGATATTCTATTCAATAAAACCAAACAGTGAACTCAGTAACTACAAGAAGTGTGTGTAAAATGAGTGATTCGGATGAATTTTGAACAGATTATTTCCTGTTTATACAGTTTTCTGTCTGTATTCTGTATTTTTCTATTATTTTTAACAATCATATCTTTTTTTTTACAAATGCAATGTTTTCTTGTACCTAGTCTTGGCCATTGTTCTATAAGACAGTTTACTAAATAATTTACTTTTCTTCACAGAAGTAAATGTAAATTATTTTTACACTCCTTAAAATCAAGAAAGCCTCGCGAACCCCCCGGGAAGCTTTGGTGGTGGGGAACCATTGCACTACAGCTTGTGTTCTGATCAGCATCCATGTTTAAAATGCACCTTTCACTTTCCTCACTAGCAGCCCCAAATTCTGAAAGCAGACTTGTTCTGGGATCTCTACCCAAGGGTAGGAAAAAATATTAGTTTTTCTGATTTCACTACCATTGTACAAATCTATAACTTTTTTTGAACTTTTGCACCACATATGTATATCTTAATACTAATTCACTAAAGCACTAATTTCACTACTGACTGCAGACAGGGCTTTTTTATTGTGACATTTTGACATTTCATACAGGAAAACAACCACTGCATTCCAGATTATCCAGTCCCAGGGCCTTGGTACCATGCAATTTGAGATCCTGACCGATATGGCTTTTTAGAGGTCAATTTTAGATGGAAAAGATTCACAGGTTATCGATATGGCAGACAATATAGTGAATTTTGAGCTGAAATGAAAATAGACCGATTTTGCACCTATAAGACTCTGCAAAGGTACTCAGAAGGCTGCTTTGTTAAACAAATAATTTTATTAAAGAATATTTAAGTTACATATTCTACATTGTAAACAGTTCTAGAAGAGAAACTGAGACTAAGAGTATAAAGAATAAATAAAAGTAAAATAAATAGCGTGCTGTACTGGAAAAAACAGGTAATATGAATTATTGTATGTATACTATTGTCATGTTTTGTGCTGTGGTTCATAAGGAGTATGAACTCCTCTAAATGAACTCCCTGAGAGCAGACTGCAGCATTTTTACATCAAATTCCAAATCTCACAAGGTAACAAAAGGTGCCAACTGCACAAAATCTCTTTTTTGTCTGAGACATATTGTGAAGCAGTGATGTCTGCTGCTTGGCCCAGATACATCATACTGTCTGAATACAGCATAGCAATAAGGCATCTGATCAAAGAGTATGGAAGAGAGGAATGGAAAGAGAGAAACAGAATAAGGACTGCAGAGACTCAGACAGAGAAAAAACAAGGGGAATCGCAGAGGGAAATAGGAAAGATAGAAAGATGGTAATTTGATGAAGCAGGATGATGCTACAGGAGGCTGACTCCTGAAGGGAAGCAGCAGATCAGGAGTTTTTGTTATTTCAATTGAAGAAAAGCCTTTTTGATACTGTCCAATGAGCACACAGCTCCATTTCTTACCAGCAGGGTCTTGAAGGAACGTGTTTGGTGCTGATTACATGAAGGGGGTAATACGATGGTGGAATGTCTGACTTGGCGCAAAAAGGCCACAAGTAATGAGACAGGAATGTATCCTCACTCCCTATATTAGAGCCTGCACCCCAAATCAACTGTTCACATTTCACAACACATTCCAAAGGTGGATTTAAAAATAAACAGGATTCTCTCCAGCCTCACGCATATAGGGGCATAGATGCAGCTCTGTCCAGTCATCAGCCTCTATCCAAGACATACAAGACAGTCGAGACCAGTGAGTTGCTGAAGATCTTTCCTGTGTGTTGTCGGCTGCTCTGCTCTTTGGAATGGCCTTTGAAATATCTTTGCAGCAAGGAAAATTCAGCTGGGAGAACTAACTCCCAGTGCATAAGTTCCCTGCAGGATGAACAGATAAATGAAGAGAAAGTTCTGTGCACATCTAAATTTGTTGGATTATTTTTACAGGATGGAAAATGGACATAAAATTCAGTGCATGTCTGCCCATTAGGACAGGTTATGGTAGTGGTGGTATGAACTTCATTTGAAGACTTTTGTCCACTCAACCTGTACAGGAACTGTGACATTTTTCATTTCAAGCAAAGAGCCGGTTTATGTCACAACTGAGTACTGCCCTCTTGTGGTTAATTTATGTGCATGCACCTGGAAAACAGGATCACTTACATCCCAAGTGTTCACTATGAATCCACAAACATTTTATTCCCAAAGAACAAAAAATGTAAACGTAATTACAATAACTAATTTAACTAATAACTAATAACCAAATTTCCTTCACTTTAGAATTGTGTATGTTGAAGGATAAATTGGAGATTAGACTGACCAGGTATTAGTTGATTGCCCAGAAACAACTGTTTCAACTGTGTGCTCAGAAATAATGGGCTTGATTTTTTTATGTGAGTGGTTTTGCTATTTAAGATGGTATAATACTAATTTTGTCAAACATTTATGCCCTAGAAACCACACATACAATGTGTGTGGTTGAGTTCTGCTCAGTGAATTTAATTTAATTTAATTAATATTTGTATTGTCTATAAAATACACTAAAGAATCACATGAATAAAATAAATTAATAATAAAAATAGTTTTTTATGTCTTTATGCATTTATCATTGGTGTCATCGTAACATAACACCCTGTTATAAAAAGCAAGGATGCCAAAGGCCAGTAAAATAGATCATAATGACGGCTCTTTCATAATGTTGCCAGTTCATTGTTTGCTCCGGCTGAGCCATTCAACCACTGGCGACTTTGTCAGGTGCTTATGGCTCCAGTTAGAATTGTCCAATCAGACGCCAGTTCTCTCCCCAGGCCCGCCTTCGCATAAATACCATTGGTTGAATTTTAAGACGTAGTGGCGTTATGGGCGGAGTCTCCACGGTGAGTTTTCTCCAGCGGTTACACGATAGCGTGCACCTGGAGCAGAGGAAGAACCAGCAGCTGTCTGTCTCCCTCACTGCCTGACCGTACAGTTCCTACAGGTGAGTGAGCTACGGTGTTATAGTGCATCTGTAACGGGGTTTGAATCCGGTGGGAGCTGTTTTTAACGTTAATTGATGTCCTTAAGTTCAGCACGGTTGAGGACACAAAGGGTGTTGGTGGTTAATCTCAGTTAGTTCAAGTGCTTAGCTAGCATCAGGA